AAAAAAAAAAAAAAAAATCTAAAAAAGGGGGGCAGCAAAACGAGGGGGCAACGTGACGGATTCCCTACAAACGGATTCTCTCTTTTAAGGAGAGAAAGAGATTATGCCGACTGCTGAGTATACTAAATCCACAACCAATACCAAATCACGTTCAGTGTTCAACCTACTTTATTATTTATAAATCATGAACATAACTGGTAAACCAAAAAATCTCTCATAACCAAAATGGCAAAGCTTCTGCCTAAAACCTCAGCCTGCTTGATCTCCCTCTTCATGGCCATGATAATCAACCAAACATCCCTTGCTAGGACACTTGGAAATTCAACCCCAAGTGATCACCACCATCAAAACCTTCATCATCACAAAATCACATTCTTAATGAGAGACATCTTCAATGTAAAATTAACCAAGCCTTCAACCACTAAACTCACAAGCACTACCGCTCATAAGCTTCCATTCTCCAAACCACTAGGCGGCCTATTCCCTCCCAAAGGAGCTGTCCTCCTCCCCGATACCGACATTAATCCCGCCACCACCGCATCATCGTCCTCTCCTACACTAGATTTGCCCGGGATTGGTCTATCCTTCCCAGCAGCCAAAGCTACCCTCCAAGAGCTAGAGCTTGGAACAGTGACCTCCATCGAGGAGGACATTTTCCACCCTTTGGGGTATGAAACTTATGGCTCACAACTGCTAGGGAAAGCGCAAGGGATGCATGTCGCGAGCTCGGAAGACGGAAGTAGCCACATGATGGCCTTGACAGTGAAGTTTGCTAATAATAAAGGTGATGATAAAGTTGCTAACGGGTTGAGGTTTTTTGGGGTGAAAAGGAGTGATGTGAATGAGTCTCATATTGCAGTTATTGGTGGTATTGGGAAGTACCAAGGTGCCAATGGCTATGCAACTGTGAAAGTAATGAATGTTATAAGGCCTAGTTCTGTTCTTGGGAAAGACAAATTAGGAGCTGGGAAGCTTCTAAAGTTCAGTGTATATCTAAGCTAATCGGAAAAGTTTATTTGTATTTACGGTCAACATCATCAAATTTCCATATAATTGTACCATTTCAGGTCACTTTTGTAAAATGAAACATATAATTCTATATTTCATATGTGGAAGATTATCATATTCTGGATGATATACCCTATGTTTGAAGCATTACAAGGACAAGTATTATATCGTGTGATTTTTTTTTCTCCTTAAGGGGCCACTACTTAAATGTTAAGGTGAGAATTTGAACCAACAAAAAGATTACAGTTGCATTGTAATTACGAGCAATGGCAACTGTAGTCGAGATTAGAGTCGAATTAAGTTATAATTAGGTCTAAATTTTATCTTATTACAAACTAATACGTAAATAGATTACAATAGTAAAATTAATATAATGTTTAATAATATCACCAACCAAACACTGCATTATATAAAAATTATACAATGCAATACAATACTATACGATACGATAAAATACCATGTACACTAAACATGCCCTAACTGAAGATCTGTCTAATCTGCAGAATAATGTGAACTTTTCTTTGATAATACTTACTAGTTAGCTAGCAAAGTGATGTATATAAACGCTATGCTACTTGCTATACATGTTTTTGCGTCCGACAGTATTAGATATTTGACATGGTTAAAATGTAACAGATTGAGGTCCAACTATAATCACTAACGACTAGAACGTTCTCTACTAAATTAATAAACGACGAGTCAATACAATTCCAAAAAAGGCATCCGAACATTCATTATCGGAACACTTGAAAATGTTCAATTGACCAGTTTAGGATAATTTTATTGACTACAAAGGCACCCCAATAGGTATTTTGTGTCATATTTCTTATTGTAGTTGTTCAACATATTTGGTGCCACAGGAATATCATTCTTAAAGGCCATGCCAAAACTTTCAGGTTGTATATTCATTACCTATAACCTAATCACCTTAAATCACCTGTACCATTTTTTCAGTGGCAATTTTCTTTCC